CTATAAGAGTAAACCTTGATCACCATGTATGAGACACTGTGCAGGGGCTTCCCCGTGAGGTGGAGTTGTTCCAAGGGTCTGGTGCCTGCCAGAATCCTTTGGGTGTGCCACTTGTGTGGCTAGTTGTGTCAAGCTCTTGTGTGGTCTGAAACCCACCACTGGTTGTACTGGTTCTTGGTCCACTTTGGTGGGGTTCAGCTACAGGCTGCTGTCACACTTTGTATGTAACCGGCCCTAGACTATCTGTCTATAGCTACCATGCTATTCACTATTTGCATCTACTGGACCTGATTGTGCGTGGGAGGGACCAATCTGTGTAAAAGGGTCGGCTTATTCCAGCTTAGAGCTGGGGGAAGATCTATAAAAGGAATGAGGCTCCCAGAGGTCTACCTCCACCTGTCAGCTACCCTGTCTACCCCAGAAGTTGCCTAGTTTTCCTCAAGAGCCTTCTGAAGAGGGACTATTTGATGAGCTCATCCTACTTGAAGTAGGGTTTTAGGGTCCCCTACTTGGGAACTATGCAGTCAGAAACTCAATGAATGGAAAATAGCCTCTGCTTCAAAGCCAAACTCCTCAGTTTCTACGAGCGTCTCCAACTATAGTCCTCCCTAAGGAGGCTCAGTGCAGGTTCGGGTTAGGTATAGACTGCTGTTCCCTCTGTAGGAGCAAACTCAGCTGCCCTGGATCAGGGGGATAGATCAAGAGTCCCGCTGAGGATAATGCCAGCTCTGCCCACAGCAGGTGGCTAAGCACTTTGTTCTGGTCCCTGACAATAGCCTCTGATGGTCTCATACTTTGAATGTCCCCCCTCTAAGCCACTCTTTCTTTCCCCCATGAAACTGCTCCCATTGGGGTATCTGGGACTTCTCAGGTCTGATCCAAACAGTCTCTTTCTGTGGGTGGTGCCTGAAACCTGTAGGAGGGAGAAGCTGGCACTTCTTTTTCTTCAAAGGGTAGCGTGGGCCAAACTTGCAGAGGAGCTTGGATTTGCCTTCCCACAATGTAGTTACACAGTTCAGCACCCATCCATCTGGCTCCCATACAGAAGTCTCCTTGGGGGAGACAATGCGAAAATCACAACTCTATGTGGCTCCCTGGCTCCTCCGCACACTGAACTAGACAGGATGGGGCTGAAGGTCAGCTCTGTGTGGCACTGTGATCTTTCCACCTCACTATCCTCAGTAGGACAGGGCCAGAAGTCCCATGAACTCTGTGTGGGCTCCGAACCCAGCATGACAAGGCTGAAACACCAGCTCCCCTGCACCACTGAACCCAGTGGATAGGGCAGAAAGTCCCAGCCCTGGGCATCTTCCCTGCACTGACAAACACAGCAGGGAAGGGCAAGCTGAGTGGCTCAACAGATCAGGGGACAAGCACCAGCTGAGTGCTCAGTTGAGGGAGACTAATCCTCTTTCCCAGTCCAGGAAGTTTACTCACTAGGTCTCTTCCAAAAGCCTCCCCATGAAATAGAGGGCCCTTAAAGTCACTGCTGGGTGGAGCCAGCAGACTCCTCCACAGGACCTGAGGATGACAACGTGGCCTTTCTAGTAGTTGGAGCCTGGAGTGAACTCCCCAGGCTGGTGCTGTAATTTTAAGAGTGCTCTTTCCCTAGGAGGGTGTGGTTGGAGTCTCCCAGGTGATCTGAATCCCCTCTGATTCACAAAGCCAGATGCTATGTGGCCTTCTCTTCCCATCTGTGTTGCTCTGGGTTGGGAATCCCTATGTAGGGTTGAGATCCCACGCTTTTAGGGAGAGGTAGTTCCACAGTCACAATATGCCTCTGGCTTCTCAGCCATGGCCACACCTATGTGATGGGGCTATCCCTTCCCACGTGTACACCCTTCTTACCAGTCTCTACATGGCTGCTTCCTTGGTTTTAATATTTCAGATCTGCTAGCCTTCAACTGGTTTTTCAGGTTGATTGCTCTGTAATTTAGCTGTAAATCTGGTTTGGGGCTGGAAGCAAGTGGACACAGGTTCCAGCTACTCTGCAGCCATTTTGGACTATTTTTTATATCCTTAAAACTTAATCATTACTATTTTTCCTATCCTTTCATTCAATGCATATTTGTATCCACCCACGTTTACAAAATTCTGTATTCATCATTGCTTCTTACATTCTATTTCCTCCAAGTTCACTTTTCTTTCTTTAAACTTTCTTTTGATTTGTGAGTTAATTTTCTCAGTCTTTGTCTGAAAATGCCTTTATTTTACCATCAATCTTGTATATTAGTTTAGCTGAATATAGAATTCAAGGTTGAGAGTTTTCCCCCTGGATAATCATGTTAAAAATAATTGTATTATTTTGTTGAGAAGTCTGTTATTGTAATTCTTTATAAGTCTGTTGTCATTGGTTCCTTTTAAGGTACTTCCTTTTCTTTGTGTGTAGTGTCACTGTTCTATGTCTAGGTATGGATTTTTGGGGAGTGCCTTTGGTTTTGTTGCACTTTTTCAGTCAGAGTATCCATGCCTTTTATTAGTCTGGAAAATTCTCAGGTGTTATTTATTTGAATATTACTGCCTCCACATTTACTCTGTTTCCTTTAACTTTTATAATATGCTTTTTGAATCTTTTAGCCCAAATGTTTACTAATATTTTTATCATAGTTTCCATGTTTACGTCTCTGTGCTTTGATCTGCCTTCTAGTTGATGCTTCCCTCTCAGGCTGCACTGGGCTGCTCTTTGGTGCAGTCATTAATTCTTCTTTCACTTTTTCTTTCTTTTTAGAAGTTCTAGTTGATTCTTTTTCATACCTCTCTTTTCAGTTTTTCTTTAATGTCTTTAAAACTTTTAAGCATATTTTTCCATGCCTCCTAAAATATTTGGTTCAATAATTTGAAGTTCTAGAAGTCTGATCCTGCTGTGTGTTACGTTACCCTGACTCTCACTATTTGATTGCAGTTCCTCTTAAGGAGGACTTTTTCTCCTGTAGACTCTTATATGGCCAGGGCGATGGGTGGGCTGCTTTATGTGGACAAACTTTATGTGGAACTTTATAATTTGGGATGCACAGTGTAAAATCTGACTTCAAAATTGAGTGAAATCAGACCTGAGGTTTCAATTTCTTACAGAAGACATTTTTTCCCGAATCCAGAGACTAGGTCAAAATAAATTTTGTTTGTGTATCTGTGAGGTTGAGGGGATTTTTTCCCTTTGCAGTGTCCTCTCAAGAGTCCCAGATTATTTAGAGGTCTCAGTTCCAACTCCCCATTAATCCTACATTCTTGTCTCCTGTCCTTGCTTGAATGTTGAAACAAGCCATTCACTGCTAGTGGCTCTTTCTACCCCCAACTCTTAGCTTCAGGCTGTTCCTTTGCTTCTGCTCTGGCTTTGTTTTCTCTTTGTTTTTGGAATGTGATATTTTTTTTTCCTTGAAAGCTCATCTATGAATTAAAAAATAATTTTGTGTTCTATTTTATCTTAGCCTTTAAGAGGTTTTTCTCTTAATCACCTATCTTACTGGAACCTGAAATATACAGAGTGATCTTTTCAAAACACAAAACTGATTGCACCACCTCCCTCTTTAGACCTTTCAGTGGATAAAGACCTGATTTTTAAAAGACTAGACTCTGTCTTATTAGCCTTGTATACCTTTTCAGCTGCATCCTCTATCACTCTTCCCTGTGGTCTCTGAGCTCCAGCCATACTAGCCTTCTCTCTCTCCTTGGCGCAGGTCATTTTCCCTCCCTTCACACACACCCTCCAAAGCTCCGCACTTAGCATTCCTGACTTGAAAAGCTCTCTCCAGCCCTTACCGTATATCTACTTACCTTTCAGACCTCAATCAGCTCAACTGTCATTGCTCAGGAAAACTTTTCCTGGCTTTGCTGACTCAGTTGGTGTCACTTTCCTTTATTATACACTCTTTTCTCTAGAAATATTTGTGTAATATCTGTTAATATGTTCATCTGAATGATTAGTTGATGGATACATGACTCCTACATAGGCTGAAAGTTTTGCAAGAGCAGATACCACTTCGCTTACCATTGGATACGCATCTAAGCACATTGACTAGAACGCAGAGTACACTAAATAAATATAGAGTGGATGGATATCATAAATACACTAAATAAAAATAGAGTGGATGGATAGATGGGCGGGCGGGGGAGATGGATGGATGGATGGATGGATGGATGGATGGATGGATGGATGGATGGATGGATGGATGACTGAAAGAATGAATGAGGAAGGGAGGGAGGGAGAAAGGCAGGAGTGAATTGTGACCAAATAATTTATTCTAGGAGCATTTTTTGTTTGCTTTGTACTTGTAAAAGGAGTTGTAAAAGCAGAAAAGTGTCTCTCTTTTCCTCAGTTCTATTATTGCCACATAATAGCAGATATTTCTGTGTAGGCAGTGTACTTAACACTTTTTTTTTTTTTCTGAAAAAAGGGGGGTATTATCTTGAATGTTTGAAAGCATTTATATAACTTGTATCTCATATTACCATTTTTTAAACATGCTCTTATTTCTCATAAGATGGATGTATTCTTAATTTGTACATGCCCAGAGTCTTTTTCTCTCAGGCATTAGTCAGTGCTAGAGAGTTATCAGTCCTCATTTTACGATATTATGTTCAATATCAACATGTCTTTTAAGAATTGGAAAATGAGTATCACAAGAAAAATAGTGGCAAATGTTTCATTTGTCACTTTGTTGTTAAAGACAGCAATAATATTTATATTATAGAATCATAGAAACTGTAGCAAATACAGACAGAACCATAGACCAAACATGTATATATCTCAACCAGCTTTGAGACATTTAAGTGGGAAAAGTTGTTTTCCAAATATGACCAGTTGACCACCTTACTCATGGACTTTGTGTATAGAAATCTGAAACCCGAATTTATGTTTCAGAGTGTTTTGTACATATATTACTACCCATAGCATCTAAGGTTCCTTATAATGTAAATGTACTATCATTAAAAGATTTGCCCGATTTTGTGCTCCATCTCATAGTTTTTTCCTAGTTAAAAAAATAATAATTTTGTTTTTGCAGCACTTAAATGCAGAAAGGTCTTACAAGTGCCAGATTTGTACCTTACATAAATCTCTTGTGAAGATGGAAGAGGAGCTTCAGAAGGTTCAGTTTGAAAAGGTGTCTGCCCTTGCAGACTTGTCTTCTACAAGGGAACTTTGTATTAAACTTGACTCAAGCAAAGAACTTCTTAATAGGCAGCTGGTTACTAAAGATCAAGAAATTGAAATGGTATGTAATACACTTAAAAATAGTTATTTTCACATTTCCATTATATAAAATTACTACATTAGAAAAACAAGTTCTTTTTAAAAAAATATTACATTAAGTCTGTCTTTCATCTTTAGATTTTATTTTTTAAGTCCAAGAGATTAATTTGACAGCTATATTCCAACAATTCAAGTAAGTAACAGAAATCTTCCTTTGAGTATTTAATTTATATTTACTTTTGGCCACATGAATTATAAAACATTTACATACCAATCAGCAAAGAACCAAGAGGTTGAGGTTTATCTAGCTAAATTATAACTTGAATGACATTCTTTTAAGCTAAATTTATTTACTAATTGTGTTCTTTTAAACTGTAATCCAGTCCATCATATCTATTGTGTGCCTGGCATTGTGCTTGCTGCTGTGAATATAATGTTCAAAAGATACAGGCCCCTGCCCTCAGGGACCTTTCAGTATTGACTTATCAATAATTTGGGATGAATTAAGAAGTACTTTATTAAGAAGTACTCATGGTTTTAGAGAGGGAGTTCCTATTCAGCCTGTGGGTGTCAGGAAAAGTTCATAAGAAGGTACTAATGAGCACAGAAGAGATGAGGTGTTTCATTCAGAGGGAACAACATCATAGGGAATGTATGGAGGTAAAAATGAATTCTTAAGTGCGTAGTAATTTTCAGTGGCCAGAGCAGCATACATGGGTGGAAATGTCTGGGGAGCCCTGCCGGCATGGCTCAGCGGTTGAGTATCGACCTATGATCCAGAAGATCGCGGTTCAGTTCCTGGTCAGGGCACATGCCTGGGTTGCAGGCACAATCCCCAGTAGGGAGCATGCTGGAGGCAGCTGATCAATGACTCTTTCATCATTGATGTTTCTATCTCTCTCCCTCTCCCTTCCTCTCTCTGAAATCAGTAGGGACATATTTTAAAGAGAAAAAGAAAATGGCTGGAGATGCATCTGGGGAGATAGATGGAGTACAGATCCTAAAGGGATATATATGCAAGTTGCATAGTATAATTGAAATATCAACAAATTTGGTCATGTTTACATTTCTTTTATTTTCAAATCCTATTGAATTTTAGTTTTGTTAGTCTACTGTTTGTTAGGAGGATATGTTGCATTTGAGAATCATGTAGCTAGCTGGTTTCTGTAAGAATTCACTGTTTATATTTTATGAATGAAGTATATGCCAGTATTGCCAGACTCTTCCTTTAATTATTCTTTATTTCAGCAAGAACATTTTAATAATGAAATTAACTCATGAAAGATACTCACTGTAAAAATTCAAATAATATATCCTTAATTTTTAAAAAAAACCACACTTTTTATGTGGTATTTTGAAATTGGAAAAGTAATACTTGTTGTAATACATGTTGTAATAACTGAAACATTTTTTCTGTTTTAGTTTTTAGATTACTGACATTGAGCTTCTTTTCATATGTCTATTGGCAATCAGTATGGCCTCTTTGGAAAAGTGTCTATTCAGGTCCTTTGCCCTTTTTTGAGTTGGATTGGTTTGTGTGTGTGTGTGTTCAGTTGTATCAGTTCTTTATAAATTTTAGATGTTAACCCCTTAACAGATGTTATCAGTGAATATGTTCTCCCCTTTAGAGGGTTGTCTTTTTATTTTGTTGTTGGTTTCCTTTGCTGTGCAAAAACTTTTTAGTTTGATGAAGTCACCTTTGTTTATTTTTTCTTTTGTTTTCCTTGCCCAAGGAGATATATCACAAAAAATTTTTCTGTAAGAAATGTTCAAGATTTTACTGCCTATCTTTTCTTCCAGGATTTTTATGGTTTTGAGCCTAACATTTAAGTCTTTAATCCATTTTGAACTTATTCTTGTGTATGGTATAAGAAAGTGGTCTAGTTTCATTTTTTTTGCAAGTATCTGTCCAATCAATATTCCCAACATCAGTTATTGAATACACTATCTTTACCCCATTGTGTCTTTTTGCCTCTTTTGTCAAATATTAATTCATTATAAGGTCCTGGGTTTACTTGTGTGCTCTCTATTCTGTTCCATTGATCTATATGTCTGTTTTTTATGCCAGTACCTTGCTGTATTGATTACTATGGCTTTGTAGTGTAGTTTAATACCAGGTAGCATGACTCTTCCAACTTTGTTTTTCTTTCTCGAGATTGCTGTTGCCATTCAAGGTCTTAGTTTCCCTTTCTGATAGTTCATTACTGGTGTACAAAAATGCATCTGATATCTGTATATTTATTTTGTATTCTGCTACTTTACTGAATTTATTTATCACTTCTAGTAGTGTTTTGGTGGATCTCTTTAGTGTTCTCTCTAATCAGTATCATGTCACATGCAAAGAGGGACAGTTTTACTATTTTCTTTTCTTCTTGTCTGATCGCTGTGGCTAGGACTTCCAGTACCATGTTGAATAAGAGTAGTGAAAGCAGACATCCTTGTCTTGTTCCTGATCTTAAAGGAAATGCTTGTAGTTTCTGCCCATTGAGTATGATGTTGTTTGTGGGTTTGTCATATACAGCCTTTATTATGTTGAAGTATGATCCCTCTAATCCCATTTTGCTGAGAGTTTTTTCATAAATGGTGATGGATTTTATCTAATGCTTTTCTTCATCTTTTTATATGATCATCTGTTTTTTGTCCATTTGTTTATGTGGTGTATCACGCTTATCTATTTGCAGATATAGTACCAAACTTGTATCCCCAAGATAAATCCCACTTGATCATGGTGTATGATCTTTTTAATGTATTGCTGGATTAGGTTTGCTAATATTTTGTTGAGGATTTTAGCATCTGTGTTCATCAGGGATATTGGCCTATAATTTTTTTACATTGTAGTTTCTTTATCTGGTTTTTTAATTAGGATAGCACTGGCCTCATAAAATGAGATTGGAAGTCTTCCCTCCTCTTAAATTTTTTGAAATAATTTGAGAAGGATAGGTGTTAGTTCTTTGAATGTTTGGTAAAATCCACCTGTGAAGCCATCCAGTTCAGGACTTTAGTTTGTTGGGATTTTTTTTATTACTGCTTTAATTTCACTAGGTGTTTTTTTTAATCCTCACCCGAGGATATTTTTTCCATTCATTTTTAGACAGTGGAATGGAGGGAGCAGTGGGGAGAGAAAGAGACATCGACTTGAGACAGACACATTAATTGGTTGCCTCTCGCATGCACCAGGGCTGGGAATCCAACCTGCAACCGAGGTATTTACACTTGACTGGGAATCAAACCCATGACCCTTCAGTCTGCAGGCTGATGCTCTAACCATTGAGCAAACCAGCCAAGGCATTTTCACTAGTTTTAATCAGTCTGTCCAGATTCTCTGATTCTTCCTGATTCAGTTTTGGAAAATTGGATGTTTTTAGGAATTTATTCATTTCATCCAGATTGTCCAATTTGTTGGCATATAGTTATTTGTAATATTTTCTTACAGTTTTTTGTGTGTCAGTTGTTCTTTCTCCTCTTTCATTTCTGATTTTATTTATTTAGGTCCTCTCTATTTTTCTCTTGATGACTCTGGTTAAATGTTTGTCAGTCTTGTTTATTGTTTCAAAGAACCAGCTTTTGGTTTCATTGATACTTTGTATTTTTTAGACTTTTTCTTGTTTTCTTGTTTCTTGAGCTGAGTCTGTAATGCTATGAATTTCCTTCTTAGCACTACTTTTGCTGTGTCCCATAGATTTTGGGTTGTGTTCTCATTTTCATTTATTTCAAGGTATCATTTGATTTTTTTTTTATCTCATTATTAACCAATTCATTATTTAGTAATGTGTTATTTAGCCTCCACGTCTTTGTGTTTTTCAGTTTTTTTTCTTGTGATTGATTTCTAGTTTTATACCATTATGGCCAGAGAAGATAGTTAATATTTTCAATCTTCTTAAATGTTTTGAAATTTTTTTTGTGTCCTGTCATGTGGTCTGTCCTAGAAAATGTCCCATGTGACCTTGAAATGAATATATATTCTGCTGCTTTGGGGTGAAATACTCTAAAGATATCAATTAAGTCCATCTGATTTAGTGTGTCATTTAAGGCTGCTGTTTTCTTGTTGATTTTTTTGTCTGAAAGATCTATCCATTGATGTCAATGGGATGTTAAAATCCCCTACTATGACTGTATTACTGTCAATCTCTCCCTTCATTTCCATCATATTTGCTTTACATATTTAGGTGCTCCTTTTTTGGGTGCATAAATGTTTACAAGGGTTATATTATCTTGTTGGGTTGCTTCCTTTATCACTATGTAGTGTCCTTCTGTTTTAAAGTCCATTTTGTCAGATATATGAATTGCTTTCATAGCTTTTTTTCTTTTCCATTTGCATGAAATATCTTTTTCCATTGCTTTACTTTTATTCTATGTGTGTCTTTAATTCTGAGGTGGGTCTCTTTTAGACAGCATATATATGGATCTAATTTTCTTATCTATTTGGTTACCCTATGTCTCTTGATTGTTCCTTCTCCTCTTTCATTTCTGATTTTATTTATTTGGGTCCTCTTTTTCTCTTGATGACTGTGGTTAAATGTTTGTCAGTCTTGTTTATTGTTTCAAAGAACCAGCTTTTGGCTTCATTGATATTTTGTATTTTTTAGACTATTTATATTTAAAGTGATTAGTGATAGGTACATATTTTTTTATATATATTTATATTTAAAGTGGTTATTGATAGGTACATATTTATTGTCATTTTAATTTTTATAACTATGTTTCTCTGGTGGTGGTGATGGTGGTGGTTCTTCTTCTCCCCCNCCTCCTCTCCCTCCCCTCCCTCCTCCTCATTCTCCTCCTCCTTCTAGCAGGCCCTTTTACATTTCTTGTAACACTGGTTTAGTGGTAACAAACTCCTTTAGCATTTTCTTGTCTGGAAACCTCTTTATTCCTCCTTCAATTTTAAATGATAGCCCCACTGTGTAAAGTAGTCTTGGTGTAGCTCCTTGCTTTTCATCACTTTGATTATTTCATGCCAATCCCTTGTGGTCTGAAATGTTTCTGTTAAGAAGTGAGCTGACAGTCTTATGGGAGCTCCCT